TGATCGTAAAATTCCTCTTTTGGGACTTGAGATCAAGCTGCAGAAGAGTTTAGGTGGGTCCGTAGTGTGGGTGCCCCAGTCCAGAAGTCTACCTGCCAGAATACCTGGCTTGTTATAGGAAGGCTGGGAAGCCTTAAAGGAGAAGGTTGTGCATGGGACTTTGTGTGGATGGGGAATATGCATACTGCTTTGCTGAGGGTTCACCTAGCAGGCTGTGCGTTGTTAAGGCTGAGCAAAAAGCTATAGCATGGAGTTTGAGGTACTTGCTGAAATAAGCAGGATTTTTTTTGTTTTATTGCGGAAGTTAAATCTAAACCACCCATATGTTGATTTTGTTGGAGTCTGTCATATGCTGGGGCACTTTTCAGAGGGTATAGAGCAGTGGATCTCAACCTGTGAAACTTCAGGACCCAAATTTGTCTTTGGTTATTAAGTTGCGACTTAAGTCTCACTGCAATGGAACGCACAGCATTGCGGTAGCGTTTTCCAGTGCGGGTGATTGAACCGTGGACAGGAGGTGCGTTTGGGGTGCCATTCAAATAAATGACAACGCAATGCACTTCCTGCACCAGAACGTGTAGTAGGTGCGATTGCATAGTAGTGTGTTAATCGCACAGGACCGTTCGATTAACGCAGTGTGAACGGGCTCTCAAAAACACTGAAAGACACACACACAGACACAATCACACACATATACACTCCAAAAAAATGTTTTATACCTTACGAGAACTGGAGTGGAACCTCAGCCTGGGGTCCAGTGTAGGCTGCTGTGTTGTGATGGAGCCTTATACATATATGCATTGCTTGTACAGCTCCATTGCGTTCCCTGTAGAGGTGCCAGGAGCCAGAATGTGATGTCACTGCAGTCCAGGCACCACTGGGCATGCAAGGAAGCTGTAAGCAATGCACGTATTGGAAGGAGCTCCCTCGCGGCCACAGCTCCAGCCCACTCCACCTCAAGTTGACACTCGGTGCCGAGCAGCATACAACTGGCTGCTTGGCGCGAGAACTGACAGTGCTGCGCTAGTGGGAGGCTGAGGAGTCTATCACCTAGAAAAGTGGAAGGCACACGGCGACCCGCTGAACACGAGGTCGCGACCCACCAGTTGAGCACCAAGGGTATAGAGAATTGTTGCTGAGATGCAAACATCTGAGTATCATTTTATATTGTGTCCTGGACATAGTTACATAGTTTTTGAGGTTGAATAAAGACATATGTCCATCAAGTCCAACCCATTGTGTGTGTGTGTGGGTGTAAAGATCCTCGCGTCATCTCGTTTTTAGGAGTACTTGTACCCCTGTATATTACCGTTTCTCAGGAAATCGTCCAAAAGCCTCTTGAATGATTCCAGACTATTAGCTGAAATCACTGCTTGCGGCAGTGAGTTCCAGACCCTAACCGCGCGAACTGAGAAGAATCCCCTACGCCCCTTGTGTTTGAATTTTTTTTCTACCAGTTTTAGGTGGTGTCCTCTAGTCTAGGCTGAAGAATATATGGGTTTGTGGTCGACTGGGTATGTAGAGCAATATGATTGCAGTTTTTTTTTCGGTGATTCTCTTTAGAGTTAGGTCAAGAATTGTTTTAGGTCTGAGGTCCAAAGGGGGGATCTGAGTATAGAGGGAGGTGATCTGAGAAGGTGATTTGAGGACTGAGGGGGTGACCTGAGATCTGTGCAATGGTACTCTCACCCTGCACAAAGTTTTTCCAGCTCGCGGAAAAACAATCTATGTGCCAGAAGACTGAAAATGATCATCACTGGGGTTGGTCAACTCTGCAGTTAACCCTATATATACACACACACAAACAGTACCTGCCACCATGTGTTTTATGCACAGTTCACAGTATCTGTTATAGAAATTCTGACCTTTAAGAAATGTCTGTAACACCCAGACAGGGATGAAACAGAGTTTAAGAGATGATAGCTTTCTTCAAAGAGGATAGAATTCTTTTTTTTTTCTGATTTAATCAATTAGAGAAAAAGCATAACAGGCTTAAAATATTGTTTTAATGACAGTAAAACATAATTACAGAAAAGAAAAGCGACATTAGCAACAGTAAAATAAAGTACTAGGACAAGGTTTGCCTGGTCTGTGGTTCCAGCAGAGTACAATATAATGCAGCATAAGTCAGATTCTGACAGTGACTGGCCCTCGGAAAAGACTCTCAGCATGTGCATATAGTTTTGATGGAAAAGTGAGAGCTGTAGATTCAGCAGATACTTTTATGGTCCTTGAGGAGGGTGTTGACTGAAATGACATAACCATTCAAAGAGCCTGTTGAGTGTTTTATGTTAGTAGACACTCCCACAATGCCAGTTCTTCTAATTGTACCCATATTTCCACACGCCCATCTTCTACAGTCCGACAACCAACATATTTTCACACAGTATGAAATCACAAGTTGATACAGACTAAACATGATGTATATATCTTTTAGGACATTTAATGCGACCAATTAGCATTTTGTACAATATGGCATAGGCATGTGTGGTATTGAACTGATTGTATTTCTCTTATACATTTGTGTGTAAACAATTGTTCTTAAAGTGGAAGGGAAGTCTTGTTGTCAAAAATTGCTGACATACAGTTTTTTATGACAGAAGAGACTATAAAAGTCTCCTCTGCCAAAAAAGTTTCTATCAGGGCTATTCACAGTAGGGTGAAGGGATTGGAGAAGGCAGAAGAAGTGAAAAATCTAGGACAACATCGCTGATTTGGAAAAATTCTCCAATTCAGCCCATTTTCCAGTTCAGCTATGTTGTCCTAGATTGGTCACTTCTCCTGCCCTCTCCAAACTCTTCACCCTTTTGTGAATAGACCTGTATGTGTGTCAGCAATTTTTTTTCCTGCGCACTAAGCCGCAAATGCACAACTCAGTACACAAGCTTGGTAAGGTCCTGTGTCGAAGTGAAGCAAAGCTGGCCATAGACCTATAGATTATCTGCATATTTTCTATGGTCAGATGGAAAAAGTGCAACAGATTCCTCCATCTACACTAAACTGTGCGGATGGAGGAATCTCCCCCTGGGCCAAGCTTCAGCATCTTGCTAGTCGGCCCCGCTGGCTCTCATAATGCCTGAACCAAGCCTGCATCCAGATTGTTCAGGTATTTTGAGAGCCAGCGGGGCCGACTAACAAGATACTGAAGCTCAGTCCCGCGGGGGTGGCCGCTCCAGCTGTGGAATGTCCCTCGGCATCCTCATGTCTAATAGCAGTCAATGGATGTGATGAAGTCATGGATCCTTAGACTACCAGAGACCGGTCTTGCCAGGGCCGGCCTTAGGGGTGTGTGCGACAGGGCGCCATGGCAACAAGGGCGCCGTGCGGCCGACACAGGTCGTCCTGGGGGCGGCTTCTCTCCCCCTCACCGCTGGGCGCTGGCCATAGTCTTGCAGCCAGGCGGGATCGAGGATCAGGGGAGTATAGCTTTTTTTATTTTAGACCCTAGACCAGAACGAGTGCTTAACCCTTGCAGTGCAGAAGTAGCCTGGAGGTCTTCTTCAACTTCATAATAACCGTGACTCATTTTTTTCAGGCTGACAGGGTATGTGAGAACTAGGAACACACACCATTGCACATTCCTAGTTCTTTGCTGTAAGGTTGAATGACACTTTCACACAAAGGAGCATATTTCATGTGTATTGCAAAAATAAGAAAAAATCAGCATATGTTCCTGTGGTCACCACACACACTGCAATCTGACTGTACAATCTCCTTAAAGGTGCCCATACACCTTACGACCATCGCAAGACTTTTGTCTTGCGATGGTCGTATGCTTCTTGAAAGCCCGTACGATCTGCCCACCTTGGACGGGCAGATCGTACTTGCGATCATCGAAAGCCCGCCCCGCTGAGGGGCGGGCTTCCGATGACGGCAATGCAGAACGGGCAGTGTGCGCGTGCGCACACCGGCCCGTTCCGCAGCTATCGGGCGAGCAGGCTAGAAACCCGCCGAGAATCGTACGGGTCTAGCTGGCTGCCAGCAGAAATCCACCGTTTTCCCTGGTTCCTATCCCGGCGATAGGAAAGCCATGTCCAATTATCATTGTCCAATTACCAGCGGCCGTTCGCTGAGGAGCCTTTGTGAAGTTCACACTGCTCGATTCTCATACAGTGTATGGGCACCTTTAGATCCACCAACAACTATTGAACACAAGGGCCTCCCTGACTAGATACAAATTGATTGGTTTAGGTGAGTCCTCGTACTACATAGTTTTGTTAAATCTAAAATTGATTATACAGTCAGATAGTAACGTGTATGGTGTTAGTATGTAAATAATATTTCTCAAGTGCTAGCAGGTGACATGCCTGTAAAAATGTTGCCATTGTTTGGCCAAAGAGGCGAGCCACAAAACCTTAGAAAACGGTGGATTTCTGCTGGCAGCCAGCTAGATCTCTAGAAGCATCTCTAAGGGGGCGGGAAAGGGCCGGTGAAATTTGGCGCCAGCATCCTTCAATAGCCCACCCAGCCGCGGCGCCCCTCATGATTCGGCTACAGCAATGTCGCTCGCAGCAAGTCCTCAGCTCGCCTCCCCATTGGCTGACATCACGTGTGTGGAAGGTGACGTCTTCCATTCATTCACGGATGAGAATGTGTCAAAACTCTAGGAGAAAAGACCTCTCCTCCGCTTCCTCCAATAGACGCGCCGGACTCATTCTACTACACACTCAGGACAGTCTGACGTTATCATTGTCCAATTACCAGCGGCCGTTCGCTGAGGAGCCTTTGTGTTACACGCTTCTATTGGCCACCCTGTCTATCCCTCTAATGTCGGCGGAGCTCGCGCCTGGAGCAATGAATGTGATTGGCTACCATCAGGCGCGAAATGTAACGCGGGAAAAAGAAGAGAAGGACCGAGCGGCTGCCGCCTCCTCTCGCATCCCTCAGCTTCGCGCTCCCTGACAGTATTGACGGCCCCCCTTTTCTCCCGGAGGACTTGGCGGATGGGTTAGAAACTGCGGTCCTCCGAGACCAGCAAAGAAGGCGCGCTCTCCCGGTCTCCCTCAGCATGATGTCTGACGTGTGCCCGTCTCCTGCCCTGCGGTCTTCTCCTTCATCTCAGGACTCCTCTCCTCCCCGCCCGGTGCTGGTGTCTGTCATCAAGGCGGTGTCCCCGACCACCTCCGCCCACACTCCCATCAAACCGCGCCGGACGCCCTTCTCTGCCACTCCGCTCAGCCCGGTGCCCACCAGCCCGGGCTTCAGCGACTTCATGGTGTACCCGTGGAGGTGGGGGGAGAACGCACACAACGTCACCCTCAGCCCCGGTCCTCCGGGTAGGCACCAGCTGCCCCCCGCCGATCCTGGACAAGCCGTCCGTGATCCCGTCCATGATGTTATCAGCCCCGGTTCGGCGAGGGGGAACAGCGGAGGAAGCGATGAAGGCTCCCTGAAGGTGAGGAGCTGTTAATGGGGATCGGGGTGGGAGATCATAAGCGGCGATTGTCTCTGGATTTATTCTATCACACCAGAACGGATGGAGACTAGGTCCGTATACATACGTCTTCCGTTACCATCCGTCCCCCGTTGTCCAGATGATTACAAACTCCTGCCATACTGGAGCTCCAGCTGTCACCTGCCCATCCCTTCCTTTGTGGATGGATACAGACAGTAATGTATTCCTGTGGACATACAGATGATCACCTGTCAGTAAAGGTCCATGAGCAGAAACAGAATAGGTTTGTGAAGAGGACTTTGCTTGTTACCTGTATGTTCCATAATCAGCTGATTTTACATATAAAATGGGATGAGGTAAAAAAGTAGATGTGAATGGGAGATGGTTGTGCAGTCAGATGTAAACTACCTTATTTTGCATCCCCATTATAGCACCCCTTTTCATGACCGCGCGAATGACGCTTATGTGCCGACTCATATCTGGGTGAGATCTATAAACGGGCAAAGAATGCAAACCGTTTTCATTTCTGCTCAGGGACCTTTATCACAGTCTGATCTGTACACGGATCCCCTCCTGATCAAAGCGGTATGGATCAGGTGCCACTGAGAATCCGATGTAAATGGACATGTCTGTTTACATTTGATTATCCCTCATCTGTCACTGTCAGGTCCAGTGAAACGGATCACTGTTTGTTTTCCAGACCTGGCCGGAGTCCGGGGTAATCAGATGTAAATGGACACCTGTCTGTTTAGATCCAGATTCCGATACACTCACATTGGGCATCTGATCAGGTCCGCCTGAAAAACTGACATGTGGATCTGATCAGACCACCCCTCTCGGGCCCTTTCACACGGGCTTTCAGATCAGGTCCGCCTGTCAGTTTTTCAGGTGGACCTGATTAGTAGCCCAATGTAACTCTAGGGGGAGCCAACTCTAAACGGATGGGTGTCTGTTTACATCCAGTTACCTCCAGCCAGGTCTGAAAAAACAAACGGATCAGAGGTATGTTTCACTGGATCTGATCATGCCATATCTGGGGTAACCGCATATAAATGGATGTCTGTCTGTTTAGATTTGGCTGCCCATACACTAACATGGGACTGGTAATGTCAGTTTTTTTGTTCCTCAATCGCAAGATAGAGGAAAAACTAAATAGACGCTGATGTCACAGCGGCAACATCTATTCTGATCAGGAGGAGATCTGCATGTATTCCCTCCTGATTAGACTGTGTGAAAGTGGCCTTGCTCGCACAGATGTTTGCAGGTGTTCATCTGTATGTCCATAGGGATGAATTGCTGTCTGTTTTTCATCCACAAAGGGAGGGATGAAAAACAGACAGGTGAACACCCATGTGAAAGTTGTCTTGAGCTTCCAGTTACTGTACTTTTTGGTTGTTAGATGTTGCCCAACTGAGGAGTGAGGGTTTAAATGTCTTCATTTAAAGTGTGTGCGTGTGTAGGCGGTTTATTTATTTTTTGGATGTTTGTGTACTATTGGGGGAATCCCTTCATTTCCTGTCCCTGAGATACTAAAGGCAATCTCCTAGAGTGAGGGGGACTCCCCTATTTGACAGTTGACATCAGAACAGGTGCCCACATTGGAAGATTACCTCTAAAATCTTGTATTTCCCCTTTCTCCATGCCAGTGGTCAGAAGTACAAATGGAGGTAGGGGAGATCTCTTCAATGGGGACACAGACGGCAATAAAAAAACTTGATCTAACTCTTCCTCGCTGTTGGGGGGATTCATGAAAACTGAAGCCGACAATTTTCTTATGGCAATCAATCAGATTCTCATTTCAGTTTGTTAAGTTAAGCTTTGAAAATGAAAGCGAGAAGCTGATTGGTTGCCATGGGCAGCTGCTCCAGTTTTTATGAAATCCTCCCTATATATTTTGTCCAGACATCCTCTAGAAGAGCCAATAAATCAGTTTTTAAAAAGACTTCCCTCCTCACAATTTCTTTGAATGCAGCGATCTTTATAGCAGCTTGGCAGTATAGTGTCTTCTGTGATGAGGCTGCTGCAGCATCAGAAGATGTTGGAGTATAGAGCTCCGTGCACACAAGTGTTCAGAGCTGAAAGCAAGCACTCAGGTTCTCCATTGTATGTGTCTAGGGATGACCGGACCATTAAAGAATGAAGCCAATTGGTTGCTAAGAGAAATCAGGAGAATTCTTTGACTCAATATGAGTCACCACAAAGCTATTTGAACTTCTGCCCACTGTGATGGGGAAAACCCGTATTTTCCAAAAACCTGTTCAAAGTGCCCCTGTCATGAGAAGTGTAGGGGCTGCCTCCTGAAGATGCTATTTTCCTGGTTATAGCTGACTTGCACACTCAGATACAGACCTGAGACAAGCATTGTGTGTGTCAGAATTCTTCTATACTTGTTTATGGTCAGCTACTTGTAAATCACTGAAACCAAAACATCAGCACTTTAACCAGGCAAGGAACAGTCTCAAAATGTCAACCATCAGACATGGGCATTTACTGAGGCTGGAGCAGCTGTGTATGGGAACCAATCAGCTTCTACCTTTTTAAAGGTGCCCATACACTGCTCGATTCTCGTATGAGAATCGCGGGAAATCCCGCGATCGCACGAGAATCGTGCAGTGTGAACGAAGGCGTGCGACTGTTTCTACTGTACGGTCGCACGTCTTTTGTCGAACCAGCATGCTCGAAAACCCGCAGAGAATCGTCGGCGGGTTTCTAGCCTGCTCGTTCGACAGCTGCGGAAAGGGCTGGTGTGCGCGCGCGCACACTGCCCGTTCTGCATTGCGGTCATCGGAAGCCCGCCCCTCAACGGGCTTTCGATGATTGCAAGTACGATCTGCTCGTCCAAGATGGGCAGATCGTACAAGCTTTTAATAAGCTTACGACCATCGCAAGACAAAAGTCTTGCGATGGTCGTAAGGTGTATAGGCACTAGAGCTGCAGCTAACGATTATTTTCAAAATCGATTAGTTAAGACTTCGGAGTGTTTCACTTACTAGACATCAATATTTGATGATCACTTTATGCTCACAGGTTTTTGCTCTGAAGTAGTTCATGGTTAACGTTTGAAATTCCTTCTGTTGGATTATACGCTAGGTGGCATACTTTTTCCTTGTGTGTGTGGTAAAAACCATCTCTCTCTCATCCCTGACATATGTCATATATGCCACAGAAAGAACTTGTGCAGGAAGGAAAACATTGCCAAGCGGACTTCTCTCCTGGACTTCTCACACCAGACACTTTTTTGTCTGGGGCAATCCTATTGGCTGCTCACGTGAATCCGTATCCGGACACGGATTCACACGTACGAGCCAATTGGCTGGCTAGATATTGCTAGACACATTGCATGCGCGCGCCACTTTCCTTCACTGCGCTTGGCTCCGTATGCAATGTATCATTGGCATCACAGACTTAACAGCTGCCCGGCTGGTGCCCCCCCCAATCTTTGTGCCTGGAGCAGCTGCTCCATCTTTCCGCCTCCCCGGCTGTTACGCCACTGACTCCACTCACTGCACACTCACACATACAACACATAATACACGCACGGTGCAGACCTACAACACATAATACACGCACGGTGCAGACCTACAACAGATAATACACGCACGGTGCAGACCTACAACACATAATACACGCACGGTGCAGACCTACAACAGATAATACACGCACGGTGCAGACCTACAACACATAATACACGCACGGTGCAGACCTACAACACATAAACACATAATACACGCACGGTGCAGACCTACAACACATAAACACATAATACACGCACGGTGCAGACCTACAACACATAAACACATAATACACGCACGGTGCAGACCTACAACGCATAATACACGCACATACAATGCTTAATACGCACTACTTACACTGACTGTACATGTGGAGGAGGAGGCTGAGACATGGGGGAGGCCAGTTGTTACTACACTACATCCCAGCAGATAATTTCCGAAGCTCCCTGTGCTTCCCTGTTGACACAAGCTCCCTACGCTCTGCTCCTTGCTCACCACAGTTCCCAGGTCCTGGCCAGTGTGTCTCAAGTTCCCTGACATCTTGAACGCTGGGCAGTACTCTGCTCCACCGGGTCTCCTCTGCTCTTTTTTTTTCTGAGTGGCCGACCAGTCCAAACGCTCAGGGTGAGTCCAGGAGTAGTGCGGGCGTGTCTGCCAGCGGCTGGGAGAGGGAGGGTGTGAGGAGCTGCCAGCAGCCCAAATCGATAATGAAAATCATTGACAACGATTTTCATTATCGATTTTAGTCGATTAGTTCCGGCCCTAAAAATGCATGTATTAATTTTGTGTATTGAAGTCTGCTAAGCACTGAAACGATGATCAGTGGATTTCAGGTGCAATACACAGACTCCTGCAGATCATCCCCCCAGCCCCAGGCTTTCATGTTTCCCTTATTAAAGCAACTCTTTATCGAGTGACAAACACTGAGACAGTACTGTATAGGCACCTTATGTATTCTCTATGCTGTGCCAGAGCCCCCAATGTTCAAGTTCTGACTTTCTGAAATCTAAACCACCAGGCTAAGCAAGTTACCCTGACCCCATGTGGCAGTTCCACCTAGGGCTGCAACAACTAATCAACATAATCGATTATAATCGATTATTGAAAAAGTTGTCAACTTTTTCAATAATCGATTAATCGGCTTCCGATCAGTTGGTCCCGTTACCAGCTCTAGTGCTAAATTATAGGGCAGCAGAGGTGAGTGTTGTGTTTCTTGGGGCTTTAGCAGGGGAGCTGAGGGCAAGGTAGATATGATCTGAAGCATTTATATATTAGCCCTTCCTGCTTCAAAATCTGAGAAATTGTTACAGTAGATTTTTGTTTTACTTTACCTTTTATAGCTCTAGTTGCCTTTATTAGGATAAACTACAAAATGCTTAAACTGGCAGGCTGTCATATGCAATCTTGTTAAACTTGTTGGCTCCCTTTCATAGGATGGAATCAAACGTGGCCGTCCAAGGGCAGAAACGGTTCGAGACTTAATAAGTGAAGGTGAACACTCTTCGAGCAGGATCCGGTGTAATATATGCAACAGAGTGTTTCCTCGTGAGAAGTCTTTACAAGCTCATAAAAGAACACATACAGGTAAGCCTCTAACCTCATTCCAGCTTAGCAGTCCATGAACTCAAAAGTAGAGATGAGGTTTAAAAAAAAAAAAAAACAGACCTGCAATTTCTACTCCTGTGGTTTGTGCTTCTGTGAAATAGAAGACTGATGGAATAAATGTTCTTTGCTATTCATACTTTGTTTTGTTTTCATTTTCTATCCCTGTGACAATTGTAACCAGAACAGAGACTAAGAATAAATCTAAATTAGTTGTATGACAGTAGAGGGAAAATCTCCCAATGAAAAGACTTTGTCTGATCACAACTGTCAGATGTTGGAATTCACCTTGCCTTGAGGAGATTTGCCCTCACTTTGTGTCTGAAATTGCAGAAATTAGTGTCCAAGTCCCATCAGACCTTTTAAAATAAATGGGTGCTGCAGTGGCAAATGGATGGCACCGCTCAATATCGGAAACAAAAGGGGTCACTCCAGTATACTGATTTAATATGCCTTTTGACACATGCTCAGTATTGCATAACGTGACATTATGGGGCCACGCAGGGTCCCCTTCAGCAGGGAAAACGGTGATCATCACTGTTTTATCTCGATGAAGGGACCCTGCGTGGCCCCATAATGTCACGTTATGCAATACTGAGCATGTGTCAAAGGCGAATTGGATCAGCATACTGGAGTGCCAGTGACTCTTTCTATTCTGGAACTGTAGAAAGTCAATATTTCCAGTTTTACTCTGGAACCAAAATCCTTTCTATTTGATGGCATCAGTTGAGCATTTTACACATCTAACTGGTATATGAAATTAAGTGTATTTTTCCCCCTCCCTTTTAAGGAGAGAGACCTTACCTCTGTGACTATCCAGACTGTGGGAAAGCCTTTGTACAGAGTGGACAACTAAAGACACATCAGCGTCTTCATACCGGAGAGAAGCCATTTGTTTGCTCTGAAAATGGTAAGTTGCTCCCTGGTGTTGTGCCGACTCTAAGTGTGGAAATTGTCTGTTCCTTTTTCTTACTTTTGATGACTGTAGCGTTGCTTGAAACATATGTTAAATTGTCCCTCTTGTACTAATGTATTCTGGGTCATTGGCAGAAAATCAGGTTGAGGTCATAACCATAAAATACATGGGCTCTTCTAAAGAGAATCTGTTGTCATACTAAATAGGCCTCTGACAGAAGCTGCCATTTTCAGACTCGCAAGCTGCATGTTAATTCTAAGTCAGTGAAACAACTGCTTTGGAACTAGCATGCATCTTATAATTTAGTGAAAATGGAATTACCACCACTGATTCCCCCCCAGCTGTTACCTGCCAATGATCACTGCTTCCGCTGCCACAGCAGTCAAATTATTACAGCAAACCTATCGGAAGTCTAATTTAGCAGCTATTGCCTTCATGAGTACACAATAGAAGTGTACAGAATATAACAGATATATTGTCCTCTATTCCACTTCCATTTATAGTTTCTCATTAATAAATCCACTTTCCCAGGTGAATTTGGGAAAGTGGAATTACCCCTTCCAATCTGACCCCCTCTTCCCTACAGATTGGAAGGGGTAATTCCTCTCTCCTAAATTCACCTGGGATAGTGGAATTGCAATTTAATGACGTATACTATTTTTAAATGGAAGTAAAAAAAGAGAATAATATCTGTTCTATTCTGTACACTTCTGTTGTGTACTCCTGAAGGTAATAGCTGCTAAATTAGACTTCTGATAGGTTTGCTGTAATCATTTACTGGCTGAGTGATTTAACTAGTTTAAAGCAATTCTCATTTGCAGCTCTGTAATCTGTGCTGCAAATGAGGTAAACAAGTAAAGTGAAATGCCATCCAAACCTTTTCCATACAGTAGGGAATTCTGACTTGTCTGAGTGATTTTCTTTCCCTGAGGGACAGTAGAAAACCTTGACACTGAAAAGGCAACAAGTCATCTACATTGCTTGCTTACAGGTGCACTTTAGCAGTCCTCTGTCTTCCGCTCTGACATTTTGTACATGTGTCTGTAGGTTGTTTGAGCCGTTTTACTCATGCGAACCGACATTGCTCTAAGCATCCATATGCAAGACTGAGAAGAGAAGAACCGAATAGTAAAAGCGGCAAACTACAAGCTGCTGATAACAAAGATACAGCAGAATGGTTGGCAAAGTAAGTTTGCTTTATGCCAGTTTAGATTTCAGTTTCATATTCACAGCATTGCATTGATATTGTTTGGAATATTTCTGCTTTCATGAAATGATTTATATAAAAAAAAAAGCCACGGGCATGAAAAAGATAGTTCACGTGTTTTTGGCTGATGCCAAGCATGGTCCCCAACCTCCAAATCTTACTGTGTACTGCAAGGGCCTGTGCATTGGGTGCAAACGGAATAGTTCTTGTTTGTCCCCTTTGTATGTTTGGTGACGTTATAGGTTGACTGAATCTCTTCTGTCAAGTTTACATTTTCTATTTGCAGCATTTGTTGTGTACTTTATTTCCTATACTTCAGAAATGGGTAACGTGGCCTTTACTTTCCGGTGTTCCTTAGCACAGTTTGAAGCCTTGAGAGCGGCAGATCATTTAAGGAGGACTTTTTTCCACATAACACATATAACCAGAATAAGTAGTAATAAGTAATTTGTGATGTAATGTCTAGGGAAGTGAGCACAGCTTTAATGGGCTAGGTAAACCTTTTTCCTGAGTAATTCACCCCACCATTTCAGCCCAGTCACTATCAGCTGTCCGTATTTGTAAGCAGGTACCCTGGTGAGCTTGGTTCACCGTGGTGCGTCTGTCCTATGAATCAACCTAAACCTTCCATGAGAAATGTGGAGCTGCTGTTGCAGACCTTCTGAAAATGCTAGTTCCCTGACTCATGCCGACCCACTGGCATCAGTGCCTCCGCCTGTGATAAAACCTCAAATCCCATGATGCATCTCTCACCCCGGAAGTCGTGGCTGTGCTTGCAATGCCTCATGGGATTTGTACTTCCACCAAAGCTGGAGGGCCAGAGTTTGGCTACCCCTGGTGTAAGAGTTTCCATCACATTGCTGGAGAAGGGCATGCACAAGGCAAATGTTCCATAATGTACAAACATGCTCAGCATACTTTAACATTATAGCAAAATCTCATAGTGAGCATAACTTTCCTAAGCAGTTTACTTCACCTTTCAGTAATAGATTCATATTTTACAATGTTCCTACCTGAAAACGATTCATTTTAGTTCTGTAGCATTATTTTGTGTTTAAAAATTCTTACAAATCTAAAGTTGTCGTTTGTCATGTTTTTACAATTGGTTTTTTTTGCTTAAATTTTCAGCCGCCTTTTAAAATGTTGATTTTTTTTTTTTTTTTTTTTTTTTTTTTTTTTTAATCATGGGGAATATATCTATTTCTTGCCAGCAGTAGATATATGCCAAAAATAAGAGACTTTAATATACTTTAAGGTACTTGAATGCAAGATTTAGTTTAGTGACACTGTATTGCAATCCTGCCTGCATAAAATTATTATAGTTTATTTAAAGTAGAACTGAAGCCAAAGTTTTTTTTAGTTTCTGATAGTGAAGGTTATAAGCCCAGGCAACTTTTTTTCCCATCTGTGTCTTGCACTTGTGCTGGTGTATCCAGGACAAGAAGACACAAAGAATAATACAGATCTGACAATTTTAATTCCTCATTATTCTCCTACACAAACGTTATGTCCACATAGATAACAGAGATATCCCACCACAACCTGTGCCTGTGACCCTTTCACCGAGCCAGGAAGTCAGGATAATTCTCCCCAATGGGATCACAGATAACAATAAATACCTGAGACAGGTTCTAATTCTTCATCCTCTGTACAAAAATAAAAACAAACATTTTGGCTGGAGTTTGGCTTTAATATTTCCTGAGTATTTTGTCTTCCTGAGTGTTTTTTTGTTTGAGTTTATTTGATTCTATTGTTATTCAACATGATTTTTACATCAAGAAAAAATAAATGTAGGAAAATTGCAGTTTAAAACTGAACTCTAGGCAAGCAGTTAAATGCACAGATAAAATACATACTATATATGGGAGCGGTTTTACCTGCCAAAGGTCTTTACTCTGCAAAACATGTTGCAAGTGTGGCATTGCTGACCGCACATGTTGTCTCTCCTGGGTTCTTCTGAGATTCATGTCGCCGCCAATCCATGGATTCATGTGAACATGGAGCGACCATTTTTCCTTTTTGAATAGGACTGCCACGCACTCCTGGTTTGGTGATGAATAACTACTTTTTGTACTTCACTTATGAACTATATTAAGAAGTGGATTTCTTTTTACATAGCGTTTAGCCAGTTTTCATATCATACACAAATGGGTCACTATTCCACAATGGAGATTGTTGTTCAATTGCTATAATGAGCTGTTGGCTTCATAATGTATGGAGGATTTGCACCATGTTTCCACCATTCATTTTTGTCTGGATCAATACTATCACCATCCACTAAGGTTTATGAAATTTGCTATACCTACTTGGTGGTGGAAACTTGAATTGCCACATGTCCCTGGCCTGGTGATCTGCAACTATATTTTTCACTTTAACTTTTATTAATCACTGAATGTTTTATGAATAGTTTATATGAACCTTTTACCAGTGTTTACACTATATAAAAATTGTTATATATTGACCAATAGAGACATATGCCAATAAGCCTTTTTCTTTTTTTAGTTACAGTATTCATATACAGTAACTATTCTTCACAGTAAGAAATGATTTGTAAATGTCAATATAAGTGTGGGGGTCTCCAGCGGATTCGTCATTAAGGAAGAGAGCCTCACTTGGTACTTTCAGTTGGATGAAGATGGGTTGCACACCCACTTCCTGTCACTTTGCATGCCTTGTGATGTATCTTTGTATAATGTTTACCATTGGAAGCCCTCTCTGCATCTCGGTGGATCCCCTACTCATTCCTCCCACACGAATGTCCCGCTCTCAGGCTTACTGACTTACTGGGAGCTATGACATGGCAGGGTGAAGCCAGTGTCTCGGAAGAGTCAGATTCCTACTAACTCTGCAGTGCTCCAAACATAGAAAAGAGGTCAATTAAAACATTATTAGGTACAGCAGTATGTTTTATGTTTACAGTATATAGTATAGGGATTCAGTAGTTGTTAGGATGCAGTAATCTTAAAATATCCAGTAGATATGGAAGCCAAGGGTGGTGATGTGGCCTAGGTCTAGCATTTCTTTGGCAGGCAGCAAGTGAAGAGTTGAGGCAGACATCTAAACCATCTTTTCTTTCTCAGTCTTCTAATGTCTGTAAGCAGAAAAGTAAAGAAACCAAAAAAGCAATTTATTACCCAGAGCTCACATATAAAAGAGTATTTTATAAGAGCATAAATGCAAAAAAAAACACAGCATCACACAATGAGAGATGGTACATTGAAAGGAATTGTCTAACACCTCCAGGTCTGTGTATCAAACACTCATGATGCATAGGGGATAAGCTGGCTTCACCCACCCATTTGTGACAGTAATGAGGTCTGGACACCCCAGTACTAATTGGGAAACTCCTTCCTCACCTCAGTTTGTTGAAATTCACTACTTTTAGATATGATTAAATCAGATTACATATTCAATTTGTGTTCTGTTTAGTATAGTCTTCAAAGCTTCAATTTACCCTAATGACCAAAGCAACATAGTTGTTTATCCAGGCCTCCTTTATGGCTGTGTAATGGGTTTTATGGCAAGATATCGTAAAGCACTAAGTAAGCCAGAACGCTAATAATTATCGCATGACAGATCCCAGCTGAATACACATACCCTGAACTGACTGACCTGTACACCAACCCTGCCAGTAAAATGAGGTTCCAAATTTGACTCCGTATTCATAACTTTGGACCTAGGGGTGGTACATTTTAACAAATATATATATAGAGAGAGAGAGAGAGAGAGAGAGAGATGTGTCATGGGACCCTTATCATAGACATACCAAACACTTCTGGCTTAAAAGGTACAGAAAGCCAAATACACACATTACCCCCTTCTGAGAGAGGCATACACCACAGGTATGTCAAGACTGGTTTATAAAATGGACTAATTTCATAACATGTAATGATCTATTGTTTAACAGATGGTAGCATATGGGTACATAAATATGGCTTTCATATGTGCAAAATATGACTCTTGTGAAACTGACATTACGTGGCAGTTGAGAGATCACAAAGCACTTCAGGCTTCCT